TTCTCATAAAAATAAAGATATAAATTTACAATACAAGTAGAATAGTTAGCTCCCATTGAACTCCTATTACTTGTTTAAATACCTGGTGACTGAAAAAAAAACATAATTGTTATAAACTTTTTCTTTCTAAATGAACTTCTGGTAATGGTGTTATTCAAGGCAAACAAGTTCCATTTCACAGTTTAAAGCATTACAATCATTGATGGAATGGAATTGAATTCAGTTTATTTAAAATTTTGTGATGTGCAAAACGAAGTTTGAGACTCAGTTCTAAAGACGCAGTAAGTTTTACAGAAAGTAATACTAAATTCAGTAAACATTTGTACAATTGCATGTAAAGTTAAGATTTCAGAAAGGTATGTACTGTGATGAAGTTATCAGTATGGCAAAGTAGGTGTGTGTTTAATAACATTTTTGTTATTAAGCATGCAAATATAAAATATATATAATTAAAAGCTATACTTAAATATACTATTCAATTATAATTAGTAACACTCATTTCAATGTATAACTTTTCTAGTGACTGTCTAACCAGTAATTTGTAATAATGAAACATTTGCCAATAATAGCATCCTCTTGATGATGATATTGGGATTGTGACTGAAAATATCACTAACAGTTAAAGCACCCAATTAATGAAATAATTCATTTTAATCTTTATAAGTAGGAACATTATATTTAATTAGCTATACTCATTACCCTGTTAATTTTTAATTTTGATCTGTGCATATGGCTTACTATGGACAGAAGTTAATATAATTTTTTCTTTTCACCAGCCTGGTTTAGATGAAGCTGTGAAGAAGAGTCGTGGAAGAAACCTGTTCTTCTCAACAGATGTTGATAGTGCTATTAAAGAAGCCGACTTGATTTTCATTTCTGTCAACACACCCACTAAAACTTATGGGTTTGGAAAGGCAAGTTCTTTGTAAAATTTTGTGATATTGGAAGAAGTATAAAACTATACATTTCACAACTCCTCTTGGCTAAAACAATATATTATTGAGAAACTATACATCTTATGAGTGACCTTTTTATATGCAACATGTTGTTTTTATGAAATATGGGCATATTTTATCCTATATTTATACACATTGTTTGTTTCTTTGTCCATGAACCCCCTTCTGCAGTATTGGACTAGGGGTCTAAGAGTTGCTGAACCTGAATCAGGTGTTATGTTCATGGCCCTACCCTTCGGGATTCCTAGGGGTGCCACATATGAAAATGTGTTCATACTCCCATTGACGAGCTAGTGGGACTAAACTTGGCAGATGTGGGCAGCTATACAATGGGAAAGTGTTGTAATAGGGAAGATGTTATGATAAATAACACAAAAACCCTAACTTTCACACAATTTATTTATAACAACGTATTATTACAGTGTTCATTATTACCTCACCAAAAGTTTTGTATAAGCTTTAAGAACTCAATGTACTTAAAATGTGGTATACACTGAGTGATGGTTGGGCTGACTTTGAAGGAAAAAGTAGTGGTGATAGGGGTGCTTTCTTTTACCTGCTTTCAACACCCACCTCTTAATGTCCTTCCACAGTGTTTCATATGGTTAATTAATAGATGGTCATTGGCTGCAGAAGTGTCTTATGGGCCAAAGTTGAAAGGTCACAGGTCAAAGTAGGAAGTTGGTATAACTCAAGAAATGACTCTTCATATCAACCTTATAGTGGCTGGAGTAGAAACTTGAGCTGAGTTTATGTATTATTGCAATAGTGGTGGCCATTTTTTTCATTGCATTCCACCATATAGAGCGCTAGTGTACTGTCAGAGGTATATATAAAATATGTGTATCTTGTGTTATAGAAAATTTACTAAAGTTTTTTTTTTTGGTCTAAGGACGTGGCACCATCTATGATGTTATTTTACTTCAAAGATAATAAATGCTCAGTAAAAGCAATAATGGAGATGGAAGGAGTTGTGAACATGACCCTTGTTCCAAGCTATCATCCCACAAAGTTTGGTTGAGATTAGCCCAGCGACCTAGGAGTAGTTAGATAACAGACAAACATACAGACAGAGATTTTTGTGTTTTATATATTGTAAATTTTCGTCTCAGTTTCAAGTTAATTTTTAACTCCATATTAAAGTAAATGGCATTTTGAGAATGTAAAAGGTCAAAATTTGAAGCCCATACAAAAGAATTTTCCAATTAAACACAAACAGGAACTGCTAAGGTGTTCTTAAAAGACTTCTCTACAAGATCCAAAAGGATTTTGAATAAACATATTAAAGTAAAACAAAAATATTGACCAAATTCCAACAAAAGGGGATAAAGGAGAAAATGTTGTTTTATTCAATAAAAAAACATTTAATATTAATAAATGAAAGTTTAAACAGCAAAAAAGATATATTTAAAAAAGAAGAAAGCTTGAGTACCTATTGAAAACAAATGAACTAAAGTTTATGAAAGAAGAAATATGGTTAAGGTGTTAAAAGGTAGATCCCTACAAATTTATGACTTGCTAAAAGTACATAAAACATTTTAAAAATCGTGGCTTATTATGTCAACATATTCATCTTTTTATTACTGTTTAAATAATCATCGAACTTGAATCATCTCACCGTATAGTAATTCTGAAAATACTAATGAGAACATTTCTCTTTAATCCCTGAAAAAAAATAGATCCAGAAACAAAAATGGGGAGTTTTCCTGTGCAAAACTTGTATATTCAGATTCTTAGGGGTGGGGTCATACAGACAGGTTATTCAGATAATTATTCAAGAACCAAAATAAAGAATCAACATATCTAATAACTCATCACAAAGTTCTACTCGGAGTTTAACAGTTTATTGCCAGATTGATATTCTCTGTATGGGTGGAAAGTTTATTGGCCATTGTATTCTGAAAGTTGTTTTTTCATAACCATTTTGTGCAATTAAAAAAACACACAAAAGATTACTAAACCATATCTACAACTTTATGAACTGGAGGCAGTATCTAGGTATTCACTCAAAATAACAAACTAGTATTAACAAAAGACTCAGTGAAACAACAGAAAATAATATGTCCAAGTCGAAATAACCAAAATTAAACAGTATTCACACAGTTCCTTTCAGTGAACATTTGAGTGAAAACCTCATCAATCTATGAAAATAGCTCCTAATTAAATAGAAAATCAAAATTCGTATTTTTAACTAAAAAAAACTGCTTTAAAAATCAATATTATTATTCAGAACAATTATTGTAACAAAAAGCTAAACAGGGGAGCCATTTATTAAATTAATTACATTTATTGTAATGATTTTTAAGTTGAAAGATAAGTGTAGAAAGATATGAGCTACAGGCTAAGAGAAACACCTCAAAGGAGCCTTGAATGTTTCTGAACACTCAAACAAATCAGAAAGTAATGTTGACCTTGTATATAGAGAAACTGACCTAATCAGTCAGAGTATTAAAACCTTTGCCATACAGATATCCAGGATCTCTTCTTTATCATCATCAGTTTAACTCCAAACAAAAACATTCCTCATCATCATTTAATCATTGAGAAATTTAACTTTATATGTGAGAACTGCTTGTAAATTGTGACGTATTAGTGTATTATTGTAACTGGAATCATCTAAACAATGTTTAACTGTAATCGAGTAAAACATAGTGATACCTTATTAGTACAGGTCAATGTTTTGTTAATTATATGTTAAAACATATTCTTTATGAAGCTATTTATTACATTTCATTGACTTATTCAGTGGAATTCTTACTTTATATTTATGTAAGTTGTATTGTTTGTGTATTTACTATCCTGTACTGTAGGTGAGTATAAAGTTTTAGTTTTATTAATCTTCCAGGGACGTGCTGCTGACCTTCGCTACGTTGAAGCAGCAGCTCGTAGGATTGCCGAGGTAGCAGTTGGAAAAAAAATTGTTGTAGAGAAAAGCACAGTACCCGTGAAGGCAGCAGAAAGTATCAACAAAATTCTCAGAGCTAACATGCGGCCAAATGTCAGCTTTCAAGTGTGTAATGCTCAGTAGATGTCTATTAATACAGTATACTTATTCGTGCTTACTATCAATAGCTTTAACAGTAACCTGTTAGAATGTATACTAAACCATATCTGTGGACACATTTCAAAACGGAATGAATACATTGAGTTTAACCACTTCTGTTTTCTACATTAGGTTACCATGACAGTATGCCCCACCTTATACATTTATAAACTGTGATTACAGTTTGATATATTTGTATACATATATATATATATATATATATTGGTATAATACACCAGTTTCATTCTCCAGCTGTCCATAGTTCAGAAGGTGAACATCTTTTTATAGAACACTTTCATTGTGATTTTCAATAATCTTTTGTAACTAATTAGAATATTATTTTTATGTTTTATATTTTTGATATATCCTTCTTTAACAATTTTGTTTCAAGATAGTCAGATAATAAACCAAATATAATTAAGATTGGTGTTCCCACTGGAGTTGGCGGTGGGTGGTGATGACTAGCTGCCTTCCCTCTAGTCTTACACTGCTAAATTAGGGACGGCTAGTGCAGATAGCCCTCGTGTAGCTTTGTGCGAAATTCATAACAAACAAACAAACAGACATTCAAATTTTATTGAACAACTATTCTATGAATGTATGTCAATATTAGTTTCTTAATTTAAAGGTAAATATTAAAAATAAATCCTAAATGTCGATTTTTGTGTGTTGTGTGGTGTTGAATGTAGAATTGGTTCAAATTAGATGTGTGTGATATCCATATACAAAGTCTTTAGTTTCTTATGAAATAGGAACTGAAATTACCTATATTAACTAGAAGCTAGAATCTAAAAGAAGAACCTTCTATCTCTTCTATTTGCTAAGATATCGCTACATTTACTGAATCAAACACAGTGGTATGAAATTTCAAGCTCACTAAAAACTTATTTTATCGTTTGAAATCAGCTGTGAAATGAAATGGTTTCCCACATAAATACTTTGCAAAGGCTCAGAGAACCATGTGGGGAACATTCTGAACTTTTGATTGGTTATTCACATGTTGTAGACAGAAGTTGGTGTACATAAGCAAGTGTTTTCAAAAATGGAAAAAGATGGGTGGGGTTTTTTTAGACCCAAACACAGTTTAGTTACTAGGCTTGATAAATTATAGTGGACTTCTATGTTATTATATAGTAATTTATGATATTTGGCTATTTCAAAATGTATATATAAAACCTAAAATAAATCATTTTTTTTACATCCTCCACATGCAAAATTTGATAAGGCTTAGAAACCTATGGCAAGCAGCAAACAAGTACAAAGGTTGTAACCAGAAGAGATAATTGTTTCTATACTTCTTTATTTACTGTTCTATGTTTTAAGAAAAATAACTGAAATTTAAGAACTTGTTTGTAAATAGTAATAATGTATATACATATATAATCTATTATAAGTGAAATATGACTGTATTTTACAAAATACTGGTCCACTGGAACACTGCCAAGACAGGTTACTTTGTAAAGGCCAGTTTTATAGCCTTGAATACAGTAACATGAGTTCATGTGCAGCACATCATTGCAACTTCTATAATGTTAGCCAGACATGGCTGAAAGGTCAATATAATAAAAATAATATATATATATATATAAATGTTATGAAATTTAAGCTATTTAGACTAAACATTTGTGTTATAATTTGTAAAACGAAAAAAGCATAATTTATATTTATTTTCAAATTTTTTTATGGAGGTTATGAAGTCAATCAAATCAACATGTACAGAGATACTGCAGTAAAAATAACAGATAAAATTTAGTTGTTTTTTTTAATTTTATAATTATCTGGAGGTTATAAAGATTTTGCATGTAAAATTTGAAAATGTTCGGATGCATAAAAATATTTTAATTTTAAAATCAAAATTACTTTGCATGTTGGATA